TATATATAATATATGGAGTACTATATGGAGTGTTTGGGTCTTTCGGACCCCAAGAGGACCGAGCAGCGCATGCCACCCTGTGTGGAAGGAGAAGGCTTGTTGAGCAGGAACCAAGCTACACAGGAAAAACCTTGTAAAAACAATGTAAAGCAACATAGCCTGGCTTCCCGGCCCACCATTATTGATGTCGTTTAGACTTTCAATGGTGTTTCCCGATCCACACGTGGCTACCCGGAAGAAGATGCCCCCCCAAAAAGTGAGGCCTCTGAATGACTTGCTTGATCCTTCGTTTGCACCAAACCGGCGGTTGCCCGAGGACAAAGCGTGGACCGCGGGCGTTCCACACGAAGTGGAATTGTGGGACTTCATGGCCAAAAGCGCAGAGAAAAGCGGCCATTCGTAACAGCGTGCACAATTGAGAAGCTACAGAGTTGATTGAGCTGACCGTTGTGACTAGGCCCTGTTGCTTTCTGTTTCAAGCTTAACACAGGTCAGGTGTTTCTTTTTTGGATAAGGAGGGATAAGGATACCTTCCATACAAAACTGTGCAGGGGAGCATCTCGAAGGAGGGCACTCGAAGCCAGAGTGGCAAAACATGCTGGCTGTCCTTGCTGTTGCGAGGTCCCTACTTTTCGCGCCGCGTGGTGGAGGCGGCGTGTGGGGGGCGACGCCCGACGGCGCGTCACCGTGTGGGATGACACGTGACCCTGCAGGAGACCGCGCGACTCCCCTTCCCAGGTTGCCTTAAAGGGCACACGTGTGGGGGTGGTGCTGAGGCAGTTTGTCAGAAGATATATAATATAGGAATCTATAGGACGTATAGGATCTATAGGCTCCCCAAGTTCTTGATGTCCAATTGTCAGCAGCACCTCTAAAGAGACACAAGACCTGTTTCCAAGATAAAGAACATGCAACACGATTGTTTAGGTGCCTTTGGCAGGAAAGTGTTCTGGTGTTAGTTGTAAGATCAGATGTTGGGTTTGGCTCACACTCAATGATGATTCCTCAACGCAGGCTAAGTCTCAATGAATACTGTACAGCTGTTTCAGAGTAGATAGCACAACCCAAGCCTCCAAACCTTATAGGGTACCTTGTGCCATCTACATACTCTCCATCCACCAAAAACCCGCTCGCGTCCTCCCCATGGCGTCGTCATCTTCCAGATCTGTGCACTGCTCTCAGGCTGGGGAGCTGTGCTGTAAACATTGGTTGGCCGTGCAAGTGGCACGGTGGGGACCCCCAGTGTCGACGCCTCGCAAGGTTTTTCTACAGGAGTCCCAGCTTTTAAAGCATGCATTCTTTGGGGCTCGGCGGAAGGGAAGAGAAGGGAAGAGCACGGAATACCGCTGTTACAATTGAGTCTGTGGCTGGAGGCTACGGCCTCCATGCTGAACCACCCGGCCTCAGGAGACCCTACAACCATTCATCGCCATGCACGGGTCCATCCTACGCCTCTTAAACGCCGATCCCCAAACAACCGCCCGAACGCCCTTATCCCTCGCGCCGACCTCGCCACGTCTCGCGCTACTCGCGCTGGACGTCTCGCGCGCTCCGACGTCCACGTCCACCCCGCTGTGGTGCTCCGACGTCCACGAGGCGCTGCGGGATGGGTGTCAAGTCCACCACATCCATGGCCGAGGATGAGTTCGGGGGCGCCCAGACCACGCGCGCCGTTCGGTCGCGTACCGATTCGCCGGCGGCGTCATCCGCGCGGCGTCATGGGCAGGGCGACGGGTGGGTCATGGCAGGGCGAGGGTGCGAAGGTCTCGCTTCAAATCATGTCGGTCTTGAAACGAGACTCGCTGATGACACCCCCGGCGGTAGAAGAGGCATGACAATTAGGAGCGGACGTGACAATTGGGAGTTCACTTCTTGTTGAGACCTTTGTCATGGAATATACTATATCAATATATACTGCGATGTGCCGAAATCCAAGCATGAACAAGCACCCATGACTGCAACGCATGCACCTCAAAAAGATCATTTGTGCACTGTCCTGCCTGAACATGCGAAGATTGGACCACATTTCAGAGCTGCTATGGTCACAAGTTGTCCAGGATTCGGAAGGACCTAGTGTGACTATATAGACTTTTAGGCAACTTTTAGGAGTCTTTTTGCCCCATCTCTCCTCATCGCAGCCCTGATGATGCAACACCGGCAGCTAGGTTTGTTGAGTGGAGCCAGAAGCGTTTGCTCGGAGTGCTGGCATCTACCAATGATGCTTCCAGGGAAGCTTGGCCTCTTCCCGATTGACCTTGGGAATGGATAGAAGATGATAGAAGTAAGTGCGACAAACTGTCCTTTAACATACCTGTCTTTGTGGCAAATCTTCACATAAAGATCCAAACATAATAAAGTTACAAGGCTTTTTGTTGGCCCAGACTCCACGAAAGGATCATCATAAACCCATGTATTTGGCACGATATGGCAGAAGTCAGATATACTGCAAACTACGTGACGGACCACAAACCATCATAGACCCATATATAATATTTGCATATATTTGGTACCGGATATACTCCTTTGGCAGGATCTCAGCAACCTGGAGCAGCATGACATGCAGATCGGTGTACAAGAAGACAAGGTAGTCATGGGTTCTCCCTCTCTTATATATACCCTTATAACTTATACCTTTGCGGCCAGAATCTCCATGTTGCCATGGTGTTCTTGTTGCTACAGATCTCTAGATCGACCCTTCGTCCACCCTGCAGAACCACTCGACCGACCCTTCGTTCCTTTCAGACAGCGGGCAAGACCCATGTCTCACCGGGTCTTGGCTGGTATAGTCTGGAAGCAGTGGACCCGGTGTCCAGGAAGGACCCGATGGAAAGGAGGTGTCCGACAGTGAGGAGCGAACGCAAAAGACGTTGACCCTGTGAGGCCCTGAGATCCGGTTGATTGGTTTTGGCCTTCCTTTGGTGAATGGGATTGGGGTAAATGACAGCAGGTTTCGATGGCTCTGAGAGCGGCCCACCAACATGTTGCATGGGTCCGAGCAACGTTCTTGCATGTTGAATGATGCCACTGGATTCCCGACCCTGCCCTGCATGGTGTGAACATGACGTGAGTCCCATAGTTTCCTTCAGACAAACTGATTTCTTGTCCTCCGTCCAATCCATCGGGGCCTCAGCTCCGAGCGTTTGGCTGATCAAGAGGGCCAAAGAGCTCCAGCGGTGACGCCCTCGACACCATGGGGATTGGTACTGTGGGACAGTCCCAAATCTGAATGGATCGTCCCAAGCAAGCTGAGATGGTCGCAAGGTGCCAAAAAGGTACAACCAAAAAGAACATGACGTGGTTTGTCTCGGATGGGTCGCGCATCCAACATATTCCAAAATCACTTGAGTACTCAAGTGGACAGAGCCCATCGGTGCCTTCCGACCAGATGTTCAGTCCGGAAACGTGTGTTTCTTCAGGAGTCACATGTCGGGGTGGTTTTTAGTCCCTAAGTGAGTGGACAATAGGCATCCCTAACCTCCATTAAGCACCCCTTTGTGACTGCTGGATTATAATCACTTTCGTTCCCTCTCTCGATGACCTGTTCGATTGTGTGGGCCAATGGATCATCTCGGGATAATCCTGGAACATAAAGTTCATCAAATGAGAGTCTGAAGCCCTGCTGCGAAGAATCACTCTAAACGATCAAGAAGCTGGCATCTCATAATTACAGCTGCAGTTCAATGGTTTGAGTGAGCAGAAATGGCTTTGGAACACAAGCAGAGTGATGCCCAAGGCTGAAGACACAAGGTTTGGAAAGTTGCTCCACCTTAGAAGACAAATAGAAGACCAATAGAACGAATCAACGATACTATTTCCTGCGAAACCTGGGAAAGAACCCAGGATCCCTCCAAACCTGGGAAAGTACAAACACCAGGGAGAAGAAAGACCATAGGCTGCAAACATCCCATTTGAGAAGACAAATGACTTAAACACTGCTCCAACGACAGTCCATCGGGACCATGACAGTCAAACACTTTTGTCAGGTCTACGCCAAGTCGACTTAAACAGTCTCCGCCAACGCTTTCTTTCTGACTTCACCGTCACCGCCTTCCATGAGCCATGCTGGCCATGCTGAGTGCTTCAGCGCGCTGAGTGCTGCTGTCGAGCATCGATGGTGCCGGTCTTAGGAAAATGGGCCGAGATGGACTCAGACCATCAAGGTCCTATTCCAAGAGTTACAGTTGTACATTGACTGACCCATCCATGTCGGATCATGTAGGCAATTGTATAACTATTCCATATATTATATATATGATTATATATCCATATCCATATATTATGGTTTGGGTATAGTGACTATAGAGTTCTACGATGTTTCACAATTTCACAGTTTCAGTTTCCAGCTCTGTCTACCCAGCATCGACACGACCATCTCAGCCGAACCGGACCGAGGGTGGTACGGGGCCATTGAGCGGCGCCGGGGCTGCGGCGCTGGCCTGGAGAGTGCTTCTCTGGGTGGTTCTGATTGGCTTGTTGCTCGAGGCCGAGGAGAGCGCCACGTAGCGGGGTCATGCAATTGATGATACATAGTATGCATGGCAGAATTCCTGAGAGCAGTCTACGTTTGATACCATATGTAACCACCCTTCTGATGGTCAACGGGATGAGCCTTGTAGAACTCAGTATGCTGATGACGATGCCCTTTTGATGTTGATTTGGAAGTACGTATATTCAATTATATAGATTCCATTAGATTCCTATTGATTCCAGCAGTATTTGATTTGCTTGCATTCGTTCTGATCTTAATGGTATGTTGCTCGGAAAGTTTGGAGGACTTGGAGGGTTGGGAGGACTTGAAGGGATCCAGAGAAACTTTAAACAACAATGGGTTCTTCAGTCGGAATACCAAGACAACACACATACTAACCAGCAAGCCCCAAATCCATGACTCTTTTTTGGGCTCTATTTAAAAGTCAAACGAAATATATATATATATATATAAACGACAAAACACGACCGATCCAATGCCAGAGCGAGGTAGGTTAATGCCAGGCTCGAAGGACCCGCGTCAGAACGGCAGGCGGGATATCGGGCCTATGACATCCGCTTGTGGGCCATCAAGGACCTGCGCCCGGCGACGTTCGCACGTTGGTCCGCGGAGGTTTCTGTTTTTTTTTGTGTGTGTGTGTTTTTTTTTGGGGGCGCTGTGACTGGGGCAGTTTGGGGTTCAATAGACGGAAGTCAGGGGTTGGGTAAGGTGCAGTAAATGGTGAATCAAACCCCAGGATTCTAACCACTAATCATTGGATTTCATTGCCTTTACCAATCATTGCTTACACTGCAAAACCAGGTTAACCTGTTTTTTCATGGTCTTGGAAGGCTAGGGTAGCAAGATGTTTTCTCACCTAGTTGGTCATCCTAGAGTCGGCACACTTATTTTTTTGTATAAATTGATTGCGTCGTTGTGCTCAGTGCTCGTGGTGTACTCGTTTCATGGTTCCATGAACGTCGTCCAAGACTCGCATCCTGCTATAGCGACCCCTATAGACGACATCTCAACCAGAGATAAGTCGTTCGGAAGTGTTTAAATTTCTTTTCGTTTTGGTGTGTCGTTCGGGTTTGGGGAAGTAGATCATTCATGACAATTCACAAGCTAAGATTCTATGACCTTTCCTGTGAATAATCCAATGGCCCAATGGCCTTGCTTTGGGAAACCCCCTAGAATCCAGCTGCCACTCGACAACACTGTCACCAATGACATCCCACTGTCACCAGCTTCCTCACCAACATCCTCTCGCCCAACAACCCCAACATTGCTCAGAAAGACATTGCTTGTAGCCCAGACATTCCAATTCTGCTAATTGTTGTTTTGCGACCATCCAATTGGATCATCCGGGTGTCCAATGCCCAGACGCTCCATGGGACTGCCATATTTGCCTACATTGACCCCCCAAACCACGTAACCTATTGGACATCCATTGGATGATCCAGGGTCATGTCCACGGGGTCTATGATGCCTTTTCCATTCTTTTCCTGTCCCATACTAGTATGTCCTTCTTGCGCGTTGCACTCTTCGATGCAAAGCACAGGACTATGGACCGATCATCCATGAGTTCGATCCCTGGTTCAACTACCGAGCCACGGAATATTTGGCGCAGCACGGCTGGAACAAGTGGCCCGCCAGCATTTGTAGGAGCAAAGGTGGGGATGTTCATGAAGTTTTGCGAAGTTTCCAAGTGGGGATATTCCGTGGATGTCAAAGTAGGATAAAGTAGGGATATGTAGGGATCTTCACTGTCCACGGAACGTGCTGAGTGCCAACCTTCCATGGCTCCAGGGCGCAGTTCGCGTCTCCCATGCCGGACGTTTTTGCATGGGGTGCAAGAGTCCCACTTACAGTTATAAACAAACAGACTTGTTGAGGTATATTAGAACTTGAATTTCTTGCAATGATCCTAGTGGTAAGTTACTGTAATATACTGTAATAACTTATAGTTAGAAGTTAAGTAAAGAACCTGAAAAGCATTTGTTTGCAGAGGAACATAGTCTTTCAGTCAGTCATGTTTAAGTTCGTCTAATGATATGTATATGTTTAACTTACCGGACGTTGTTGTTTATTTGATCCGGGTGATGCTTTGTGCACCCTCCTGGGTATGATAGGTGGCCTTTAGCCTTTTCTTCGGCTGGCGACCCTGGCCGGCAGGTTCTTCACGTGGTTTGACCACCAGTCCTGGTACCCTTTGGGCCGACCAGTGGCCACGTCACTTGGTTTCGAAGTCGTGGTCGCGGTCGATGATGGACCAGTGTGATGTTGAAGCAGTAAGTCGCAGTCGATGTCCTTGGCAGACAGAATTCTATCACTTATAGGTGAATGTGTTAAATATAAGCCCCTTTAAGTGTAATTACTAATGATTGACCCTGGGTATATCACTCCCATCACATAGAATTCCATTACTTATCACTCCCAGGTATATAATGATTGTCCCTGGGAGTCCAAGACTGTTTTTTAAGTGTTCTTTAGGTGACCCGAAAAGGACATACTCTGTTTCGGAGGGCTAGTTTTGGGGGGAAATCTTTTTTGTTGAGTTTGGTGACTTTTTTGGTGATTTTCTTCTTGCTGCTTACTGCTTTGCTTGCTTTTCCTTTCTAATATGACCTCTCCTGCTTTTCTTGCTTGTCCTTGCTTCTCAATGCTTTTCTGTGGTTGCTCCCGTTCTTCTTGCTTTTTCTGCTTTTCTGTGCTTGTTTTGCTTTCCCTTACGTTTCATTGCTTGTGTGTGAAGGCTTTTTTCCTTACTGTTCCATACTTTTCCTGCTCCCTTTGCGCTTTTTTTGTTCTTCCTGGCTTTTTGTGGCGTATTGATTTCCCATCGTAATTTCTTTCTATGGTCTTTGTTGCTTTCACCTTTGATAAGTTGGTTTTCAATCTGCTTTTCTGCCTTTGTATGCTTTTCCCACTCTTTGTTTTCTGCTCCACTGGTGGTTGTGTTTTAGTTCACCTTAAGAAACAACCCAAGTGCATCATATATGAACACCACTCTTTCATTCTAGGAACAGCCATATATATCCGAATCTATCCCACGCACTCCATGTACGGAATACTACATGAACCCTGAAACGCTATAGTGGCCAGGATGGGGTGATCACTTCGGATTCCTCAGTTGTGTTTGTTTTATTTTGACAGGTTTTGCTGCGCTGATCTCAAGAAAATCCGGCTGAAGGTGACGTGCGGCGAATTTGTGCCTGTTGGTCCCTTTTGTTGCACATTTGCCATCTCAAATTGTCGCACAAGTGTTCGATTCGGACCATGTGAAAACTCTTCTGTATGTTCGGACTCGTTGGCCGATGAGGACCATTTATCCTGGCATGCAGATCACGGCGGTTTTCCTCTGGCAGATTTTGCAGCGCTGGGATAGCTCCTGGGATCTCAACCAAGTTTGTTGCTACATGCCTGCCTGGTTGCTTGGCCGAATTCTCCGGTTGGTTGAGTGGCCGAAGTCTCAGGTTGACGGATCACGGATCTATTTATATAATGGATCTCATGTGGTTTCGTGACACATCCACTGATTTTGTTTTGCTTGACCTTTAGTGGTTGATACTCCAGTTGGCTTAAGGATGTTCAAGGTATGTGACATATTTCGTTGGTTTGAGTTTGCGTTTTGTACGCTGTGTTGTTGTGCTGGGGCAATCAGATGGCTACGAGGGTCCTTGCAAACATGATGTGAATAATGATGAACAATGCCTATGCATGGCACAGTTTCATGATTCATGTATTTGTTCACTAGTGTGTGGGGGTGTTTGCTTTGCAACCTCATTGTCATGTTGAGATTCAACAAGTTGGTAGAGGAACTTCAAGATCCATGTTTCCACACCACACAGGAATGGGTTAGCTAGACTTTAGATAGACAACCCATCCTATTTGCAGCGCATCCAGTGCCTCCCCAGTCCCAACACATCCTGACAGAACAGTGGACCGACACGACATGAAACTGTCCCGGCGGTCTGGCGCAGTGGTCGACATGACAACACGCAGAACGACCGCAGAACGAAACACCAGTTTTTGACAACAAATACACAAACAACAGACATATTCTGACGAAACTGGTCGGGTAGGTTAGATGACGAAACTGGTCGGGTAGGTTAGAGTTCGAAGCAACACTAGTAATTATTCGCTGAGAATGAGTTCGACGCGTATGATACAGTTGCGCGGGGATTTTATGGCATAGAAAAAGGCACACACATAGAGCCGACGTGTTTCAAGCGGATGTGTTTTCATTCAAGTGCCCACACTTATCAATGTTGAATGGAAACTTCTCGTGTGGATTTATTTTTTTAATGTTGGAATATATTACTTTTTGTTAGAAGTTAAAACACAAAATCATAAAGCATATATATGTTTTTTATGTTGTGTGATTTGTAGACTAAATGGGTCCTGTTATTTCATTAAAATAAGCAGTACTAACATATAGTAACATCAAAAACACGCGGAATTAGGTTCGTAACCGACTTGCCAGATCTCAATGCTGGAGCATGACTTCCACAAAATTCCACAAATGTGTGTGTGTGTGTGTTTTTCTAGGGGGAACCTCTGCTTGTTTTCTCAACAGGACTTGACCACGTATAGACTTTATCCACTGAACACGCGTCCAATTCACTTGAAACGTATTTTTTCCAGATCAGTGTGGCTAGACAAGAACACCGTTGGAAAAGGTGAGGTGCATCCCAGCCCCAAGTTGTGCAAAAATGACAACTTGTTCTCTGGTGATTAAGGTTTGTATGAAGCGCATGGCGGTCAGCTTGATTTGGGGTGTAGCTTGCTCAAAAAAAACAAGGGAACATAAGATACATAAGTATCTACAAATGGGTTTGGAAGTGGATGAGTTGGTTTAGTGTCGTTCGCTCCGGATTGTGTTGCTTTCCACCACCCTGCTTTTCACCCCCCCAAAACTCTTGGGTCACATGCTTCACCGCTCGCCATGGGTCACCGGGTTCCTGAAACCGGCGATGTGGCGTTCCTCTCGCTCGTCGCGGGTCGCGTGTCGCGACACCACGTCTCGCAGGTTCGGCGCTGCCACCAGCCTCTTCACCGGGCTTTTGACCTTCGACGCCCTGGCCGGGCGTGACGCTGGCCCGATGCCCTCCGGTGCGGCGGTGCTGGGTGCGGCGGCGGCGGCGCGGTGCATGGCGATCGTGCCGGCGCACTTGAGCCGCTCCGTTGGAGGAGGCGCGGGGGCTTGGGGGAACGGATGGGGTTTGGTTGACGGTTGGGCTTGGATGGTTGGGTGGGAACGCTGCATGTGTTTTTGGCAAACATGGGTCCATGGGTTGTAATTCATGTAGCTAATGTATTATACTTACTTATACAATGTTGCTGTTCCATCATGAGCTATTTGCATGGGAGCTAATATGAGCTAGTTCTACAGCATGCGGAGTATGGCAATGGACTTGCACCACAGGAGTTCCAAGAATCGAATGAATCCTCCTGCAATGGCTCATGGACCATTTTTAGGTAGTGACAAGTCCAAGAGCCGAGCCCCATGAAAAAGCGAAACAAACTGGAGGCGCGAGTACTGCTGCACCTTTCTCCCTCAAGGGTTGCTGCCGGTGCGAGTCTGGGAGCCGATTGGAACTCTGGATGTATGAATTCATCTCAGTATGACATGCCCTATAGTAGGTTCGGTACGACTGGACCCTCCTGGCACCCACCCCAGTCCCACCTTCGAAACGAGGGTACGACTGGATCCTTAGGGATGCTATCATTATCATATGGTCCACATCAATCCACTGTTGATTCTCTTCATGAGACGGTGGATCTCAATCCCGAGCATGTCACTGTGCAGGACTAGGATGCAAAGTATACAGTCAAAAAAGATACATTTGGAACCTGTCAATGCTCTCCTGCTCTTTCCAAACGCCCTATAGCTTCTAGCAACTTGCCATCTCCGCGATCTTTCAGCATATGTTCTTGCTTTCCCACCTCCCACTGCTCACTCACCCCAACCGGGCCCACTGCCCCCTCCCCCTGTGCAGGTTTCGACAACGAGGCAGTGGCCATCGGCCCCATGGTGGCCACCTTTGCCTTTTGGTGCCGCGCCCTGCGACCGGGACTCTCCTGGCCGTGGAGCTTCTGCGCCGCGCCCCTCGGCTCCGGGCCGCGCCACGCGCGGCGCTCGCGCCCCGCGTGGGGGACTGGAGCAGTCCATCTCTGTGATGGAGGGAGTTTGGGGGCGGGTTACTATGGGGACGGTAAGCCTTTTGTGAACTGGGCACCGCAGAGATGGAATATAAACAGAGCAATTGCAATTGTTCGATATATGCATATTGTTTGTCCAACATATGCATGTGCATGTTTTTTCGGCTTCGCCTTTGTTCGGTTTTCCGGACTCCCAAAAACCACCGGATCGGCTGGCGGATCCAAGTTCTCCTTGAGTCCGATCCACGAACGGCGCATGCTTCCGGCGCGGTCGAAGTACTTGCGAAGCGATCACGGGTTCCGGGGTGTTCTCACCGCCCCTGCAGGGTCTCCTATAGCTTCATGGCGGCCTCCTGGGGAGGATATATTTTCGCCTTGCACCTCGGAGCGGATCATGAGCAGGTATAGTATAGTAGGCCTCCAGTCGTACCTTCTGAGAAGGTGGGACTGGGGTGGGTGCTAGGAGGGTCCAGTCATACCGAACCTGAGGTACTTGGAGGTGTAGGGTAATACTCTTCGAAGTCCAGTGTGCAGACGAGGGAACTGGAGATCGGGGACGTGGTGAATTCATGGCGCAACTCTGCAGGGGTCAGTGAACTGTGAGAGTTGTTTCCCCTGAAAAGTTCACTGGCAATGCAGATGAGCTTGTGATAGTGTTTGACTGGTCTTTCGATGTGCTTGAGGATGAGTCGATGACTCGATGCTTGTGAAGATGCCGGAAATAACGTTATACAGTATACAACTTCTTGAAATGCTTTTAAGACTCCAGGTTCTTTTCCTGCTATCTTCCAGTCATCACTTGGCCGTTTCTATTTTTCTGCCCTCACACCCAAGTCCGTTCTTTTTTCGACCAGGAACATGGTGGGGTTACATGCCGGGCTTTTGGTCTTCCTGGGATCCGCTGGCAATCTCTACGCGGCCACTCGGACAGCCACAGGGATCGGTGGCCTGACTGCGTCGAAGAGGGACTTCAACAAGGGTTCTTTGGGCGCTAAATATCAACAGATGTTTCGGGGGACTGCAGTGTTTGCATGGGTTTGGCTTCATCACGATTCTTTTTGGACCCATCGGTTTTGGGGGTATCTGGTGTAGCCCATGCTTGAGCCGCAGTCAAATCCCTTATCCTGAGATGCATGAATACATCGCTCCCTCCTAAAAAGACCACCAGACAACCAGCAGACTGGGTGCCGAACTTGGAGGATACGGAAGTCGGGGTGACTGGGCTCACATTCGCTCACTGGATGGGACTAAACACCACCCGAGACCTGGTGACTCCTGGTATAAAGGAGATTCAGAACTCTCAGGTTCTTGGGTTCTGGTAGACTTTGGGAACCATCCACCCCAGATCGCGAAAAACACTCTGACGAACACATCACATGGAAGTGGAACATGGCGCCGAAAGGAAGACTACTTTCCTGTACAAACAAAGGATTTCCACTTTGATGTTAGTCAGTCCGAGTGTAGATCATAGCCTCTTCACCCTTCAGTCCTTCCAAAGTTCCTGAAGGTGTCCAAAGGTCCAGACCGGTCGCTTCAGGAATCTGAAGCCAAAAGCGGATCACCAAACGGCGTCCCAAAGCACCCCCTTCCAGACTCTGAAGAGGGCGAAGGAGTCCCCGCACATCTGAGGCCTACAGCCTTTTCTTTGTGGTTGGAACGTTGGGCGCAATCCAGGCCCGACCGGTCAGCGTGCTGGTCTGGTTTCGGTCAGGCTTCGAGCGGCCGAGGCTGCGAACCGGTGCGATAACCTTCTCCTCGCGTGGCGGCTGAGGCTTTGAGGCGAATCGGGACAACCCGAGATCCCCAACCCCCCCTAACAGTTCACCCTGGACAGTGATGAGGTTATGGCTTGGAAAGC